AAAAAAAAAAAAGAAAAGAAATGGAAAAGAATATACCAGAAAGAAACATGTAAGGCAGGGGTGATCTATTGGATCCTGTATTGCCTACCTCAGGGTGTTAGACGCCATCACCAAAAGAATACAACTTATTTCCAAACAGTGGGGCCCTTCTAGCACAAATCAGGTAGCTCCTGGATAAAGTAGTTGTTAATGCATTGTGCTTTTACAGAAAATAATGGAAATCTATCACTCTCTTCCAATAAACAGTTAACCATGTACATACAATAAAGAAACAAACCAAATATATAAAACAAAATCAAACTCTTAGATATAGATGGCAGACCAGTGGTTACTAGAGGGGAAAGGGATGGGGGAAGGAAACCGACGGTCATGACAGAGCACACACCAGTGCATATACAATGCAAGTTGTAATACTATATACATGAGACCTGCACAATATAAACCAGTGCACTTCAGTAAAAATTTATTTTAAATAAAATATAAAAATACCTGAGATTTTACCAGAATGGAAAGCAGAAGTAAATATGGAAACCAAGTTACATCCATTACTAGCAAGGAGGGATTCTAAACCTGAGATTTGTGTATTAAGCTAAGATGCCTACAAGAAACTAGAACGTATAAAAAGAAAATTAAACTTTTCCACGGATTAGGAGCATACAAATATGAATTCACAGCTGTATGCCCAAGAGGAATAAAAACATTTATTTTCATAAAGCTTGTACACAAATGTTTCACAGCATATTTTTCACAATAGCCAAAAAAGTAGCAATATCCCAAATGTCTATCAGATGATAAACTGATAGCCAAAATATGTTATACTCATACAGATGAATACTGGTTTTTTTCCTCTATGGAAAAGAACAGAGTACCAGTATATGCTACAATATATAGATGAAGCTTGCAAATATTAAGCTAAATGAAGAAGTTGATCACAACTTCTTTGTTTGGTTCCATTTCTGTGAAATGTCCAGAACAGGCACATTTATAGAAACAGAAAATAGGTGAGTCACTGCTTACAGCTTGGGGAAAGAAAGACTAGAATGGGGACTGCCAGCCAATGGGTACTGAGTTTCTTTGGGGGGGGGGGGCAGAAAAAATGTTCTAAAATTAGATTGCAGTTAGTGGCACAATACTATGAATATATTAAAAATAATGAATTGTATACTTTAAATGGGTTAATTGAATAGTTTATAAATTATATCTCAAAATTGTCTTTTAAACCAAAGTTCTTAGAAACTCACTTCAAATATAATGATTACAGAGTAGCTAAAGATATACCAGGAAAACACTAATCAGAAGAAAACTAAAGTGGCTATCGCAATGTACAAAATAGACTTCAGAGCAAAAAAAGGTGCCAGAGATAAAAGGTAACAATCATTAATGTGCAGGCACTCAACAACAGTTTCAAAATACGTGCATCAAAAACAAACAGAACCAGAAAGTGAAGTAACCAATTAGCATTTATAACTGAAGATGGCAGTATACTTATCTCAGAATCCAACAGAACCCGTAGTCAGAAACCAGCAATGTTACAGAAGAACTGAACAGTGTGATAGTGGATGTAAAGGACATTTTAAGAACAGTTCAACCATGGACACAAGAAACATCCCCCAAGAAAGCACATCCTGGGTCATAGCAAACCTTAACAAATTAGAGGAACTGAAATCATGCAATTTATATTCCCTAATAATTCTTGAAATAGAGTAGAAACAAAGATAACAAGAATATCTATAAACACATGGATCTTAGCAGTACACTTTGGAAATAATTCATGGGCCAAACAGGAAGTATTAAGGAAAATTAAAAAATATTTTAATGGAATGAAAATATTTAATTGAATATTAGAATTTAAAGTACAAAATAATAAAAATTGTGGGATGTAGTTAAGTCAGTGGGAAAGAATCAAGGGGAAAGTTATAGCATTAAACACTTATATTGTGAAATGAGCGTCTCATCAGTAATGTAAGGCTTCCATTTTAAGAAACTAGTGGTGGTGGTGATGGGGAGAACGATAAGCTCAAAATAAGCAGGAGAAAGGATATAATGGAGATAAGAACCAAAATTAATGAGCTTGAAAAGAAAACTAATAAAGGTGATAAAACCAAAGTTGGTTCTTTGGGGGGAAATCAACAAAATTGATAATTCTGTAGCAAGACAAGGTTGGGGATATGAATAAAATGGGGGAAATGATTGAGATGAGGCTGGAAAGGTGACAGTGGGCAGGTCATGACTTAAAGGCAATTTTTCTGTAATTAGGGAGCCACTGCAGAAGAGTGACTTGATTTGAGATTTTTTTTTTTTTTTTTAGATTTATTTACTCGTACAGAACTGGGGTACAGGCCAGAGATGCGGAGGATGAGAGGATTCACCAGAGACAGAGCGGGAAGCAGAACAGGCAGATCGACGAAGTACACTGCTGAGGGGAGCAGCGGGCGGGTCAGGAGAGGTCTGCCACGCCATGTGGTCACCTCCGGGGCAGGCGGGAATCGAACTCATGCAGAAGTGGCTTTAGTTTCTTAGTGCAGTGCTTTAACCCGCTGCGCCACCAGGGAGGGCCCTGATTTGAGATTTTAACAAGATGTTGTGTGGAGAATATAAACTATAGCTAGGAAAGGGAAGATTAAAGGAAGACTGTAGAAGATAATGTGACCGTCCATCCAAGAGGGAGGGCAGCTTGGGCTGGTGTGGCAACAGTGGAGGTGATGTGAGCAGATTGTGGGTGTATTTTAAAGCTAGAGACAGTAGGGTTTGCTTATGAATTGGAAATAGGTTGTGAGAGAGAATGATTCCCAAAATTTTGGAGAATAAAGATTATTAGAAAGTGGAAGATTAGAATATAGTTGATATTTACTGAAATGGGCAAATCTGCCAGGGATGAAAGGATATTGAGCATTAGATTTTGGAATCAAAGTACTCAACATAAAATTGGGTAAGGGAGTCGAGTGCAGAAGAGAGTTTGGGGAAATAACATGTGAAGGGCCATCAAAGTATTCAAGTCCATGGGACAGATGAGATCACCAGAAAGAGAATACAGATGGAGAAAGGAATTTTGAAAGCTCCCTAGGCTTACCAAGGTTGAGTCAGGAAGATGGGGCAGACTACAACACAGAGGCAAATAATATCTCTGAATGCTGTGTAGTAAAAATAGAGTACTACATCCGTATGGAAACTGTACACAGCAGTTTCCAAAATGGTACAGTGCAGGCCTGGGAGAGAAAGGAATGGGATTGGTGATATTCTGGTGTATCTTAAACTTGATTCCTATTAAATATTAGCAATTAAGCAAAAATATTAGTTTCTTTTGATTCTGGGTATACAGAACATATGTACTAGATACTCAAAATGTTTTCTAATTTATTTTTTCTAATTTAAAATGGAAAAGTACAGTTTTTCATGCAGCTTGCGAATGTATCCTGAAGCCCCTCCCAAACCACCTAATCATCAGGGATCTCTGATGGGAATCTGAACTCTATAGGTCTTCAGAAGACTGACTGATTGGCAGGCTTAGGAACCAGGGTGTCTGTTCTGCAGTGCCTGACACACAGTCCCAGAGGATTGCACCTCCCTTGTTCTCTGCGTGGCACCTGTGTTAATAGAGTCTGCAGTTAGATTAGCTCTCTAGGGCAAGGCTGTACAGAGTATGGAGAGCGAGGTGAAGGAGGAGGGTCAACATGTTACAGGAAAACAGCTGAAGGAGCCAAAGTTATTTGGTATTAAAGAATACTTGTCAGATAATGCAAATGTAGGACATGGGTCTGGGATTAGGGCTAGGCTTTGATTTCCCCAGCTACACCGGATGGAACCAACTATAGGCTGAACTAAAGAATGGCCACCTAATTGAATGGCTGGCTTTTGAAATATAAGATGGCCTTCTTGTGGAAGCAGAGGCCTTTAGGAATGTTAGAGGAAATTCCTAGTGGGCTGGAAGTTTGGCATAGATAACATGAAAATCCTTTAGTACTTTGAACTAAAGCTCCCCCCACTTCCTTTGTGATTTTTTTTTGTTACTTTCACACAAACATTTCAGTTTTCTGATTTTTCTACAATGAACATGGAATTCTTAAGTAACTTCTTTTCTTTCTTAAAAATAGATAATGCTTATTTCTCCGTCCATCCCCAACTGAGTTTCGGAAAATCTTTTCAGCAAGGAATGTGTTTGTCTCTTATTTTGCAAGTCTGAGGGGTACCTGAGGGGTCGTATTTATTTCTTGCTAAAATACACATTTTTAATTATCACTGATATTTTCCATTTTCATAGGAGTATTTCCAATCCTGCTGGCTTCCTTCTGAGAATTGTGGGCTTTTCTTCCACTATACAATTAAAAATTGAAAAAATAAGTGATCTTTTTATATACTGACATGCTTATTTAGAAAACAAATAGAGCCTCATCAGTGAGATAACTCACTGTGGAGCCATTTCTCCTGTAGGGGAAGGAGACATTTTATACTTCTACATTGAAAGGCACTCTTTATGAGTATTCACTCTCCCCCGCCAAGAAGTCAAATTAAATAACTACTAATAGTTTGCAGTGCATCATAATATGTACTAAATAGTCTGTACTAACCCGATACCAAGGTTAGGAGCCTACTAGAATATTGTACTTTTAACCTGAGAATGAAAAAGGCTTCACAATTACTTTTTACAAAGCTGTCCTTCTTACCAACATTAATAGAGTTCTGTTTTTCACAGAAAAATTTTGAAAGACCTATCTTCTGAAGATACACGAGGCAGAAAAGGAGACGGAGAAAACCCTGGAGTTTCTGCTGTCACTTCTATGTCTGTTCCAACTCCCATCTATCAGACTAGCACTGGACAGTACAGTACGTATAGGACACAGATTCCACAGCTGAGACACAAAAAATAGCTTACAGAAGTAATGTTAGAAAAATTGTCATACTTTAACTGTGATTATTAAAGGATACTATTTTCAGCCAGAAGTAATGCAAAGTACTTTTTAACATTATCACATTTACTCCTTACAACAATTTTGTGAGGTGAGAAATTACCACTTCAGGAGGGAAACAAGGCTTAGAGAGTTGACGTCCCTGAAGTGACCCACCTTGACAAGGATGGAGCCAGAATTCAATTTTAATCTTTCTGAATCTAGATACACAATTTTATCCCAACTACACCTCTTTACGCCACTGCTTCATACAAATTTCTCTTTTGAACACTAGCTAATTATATCTACCAACTTAATTCTAGCAGGGATTATTTGGATTAGTCACATGGTAAAAGATTTAACACTAAAGCTGAATTTGATTGAAGTATGGCCTACAGTTGATTGTAATTTATTACAAATGGGCAGTGTGATTTACAGCCCATTTTAAATAATCAGGGACTAATCGACTTTAATAAACCTGTTTCTGAAAAATGTAATAAGAAAAGTATGTGAGACCTTTGCCTTTTGAAAGGGAAACAATAAAATTAAATACCACAACCAGATATGTATCTATACATCAGCTATTCAGTAAGAATCAATTAACTAGTTATTTGGACTTATATCACTTAGATTTTTTTTTGCTTAATTTAGTGAGCTCTGTTGCTTTATTAAAATGGCATGTGGCAAAACAGACATGATAATGAATTATAAACACAACCTATGTATATTTCAAATTTTTAGTTTTGCATTCAACATTTTATTTCAAACATACTGCAAGATTGAAAGAATTGTGCAGCAGACACACACAAATACAAAAAAACTTTTTTTCAGTGACTGGGATTTGGAATCACTGCTTATAAAGGCTTTTCCATGTTTGAGGTTTTCCCAGTTCCTTCTTTTGTTGTTTTTTTTATTTGTTTACTTTTAAATCTTTGATCCATGTTAAATTCATTTTGGTCTAAGGACTGAGGTAAATATCCAACTTCTTATTTTGCCAACCCAGTCTACAGTATTATTTAAATCTATCTTTAGTTCCTGATCAAAAATTATGTCCAATGAGGTTATGTCCCTGAGTTTTGACAAATACATGGCATTGACCATGTCAAGATAGAATTTTATCTGTCCCCAACAGGTTCACTTCTGCTTGCCCTTTGTATATATTCCCTCCCTTCAAGTCTGACTTGAGCTCTTGTCACATAATATATGTCCCACTGATCCCCTCTCATCATCTCCAATATCCACTTTGGTATGCACTCTAATTTGAATTACCACAGTAGGCAGCCTGTTAGTCATCTTGTTTCCACATTTGTTCTAACAGTTTTCCACAGTGCAGCCAGGACAATTTATTTAAAATAGCACATCACACCACGCCTGCTCCGGTGACTTCCTGCACATAGAACAAGTCCTGCCTTACAAGGCAATATTAGGATCTGGAGCCTTCCCTGCCACTCTGGTCTCACCTCCTGACACTTGATGGCATTTACACCACACCTTCCCTTGCTTTTTCTCAAACACATGAAGCTTGTTTCTACCTCAGTATCTTTGGAATTGTCATTGCCACTGTCTGGTACTTTTCTTCTGCCAGTGCACACTGGCTTATATCCTGACTCCTGCTCTGCACAAGTGTAAACTCCTTAGAGACACTCTTTAAAATATATGGCTCCTCCCTTTGTTTTTTTGTTTGTTTTTTGTTTTGTTTTTGCCTTTTATTTCATACAGATTTATATGTAACTATAAGAAAGTACCTATTAATTATATATTTATAGTAATATAGATTTGCCTATTTCTGATCTATTCTCCAGGAATATAAATTCCTTGCAGGAAAAGAACTGTCTTGTTCATAGCTGTATCCTTGACAGATTGGGCCCGGGACACACTGGGCTTTCAATAAAATTTGTTAGGAATAACTAGTTTAAAGAATATGTATATAGAATATTTTTATGGCGACAAATGAAAACTGCAGATAGCAGTTACAAGAAAGAAAATTAAATCATCTTATGTCAATATGATTAATTCTAGAATCATTAAAAATTAGAGTAATGGAAACTACGTCGAAACAGGCTAAGATATCATAGGTTATAATTACAATAAAAGCAATACTAACTAGTACTTAGGGCCATGACTCAGTAAAACTTAAATGATGGAAATTTTCCACCAACAGCACTGTGTGGCTGCTGAGCACCTGAGATATGAGACTGAGAACTAAGTTTTTATTTTGTACAGTTTTTTTAAAAGATGTACTTATTTATGCATATACAAGAGCTGGAGTACAGGCCAGAGGCATGGGAGGTGAGAGGATTCACCTCCCAGGTGAGAGTGGGGAGCAGAACAGGCAGACCCACTGAAATACACTGCTGAGGGGAGCAGCAGGGAGACAGGAGAGGCCTTGGGGATCGAACTCATGCTGTGGTGGCTGCAGATAGCTTCAGTCGTTAAGATTGAACCCCTTGAGCTACCAAAGAGGCCCCAAATCAGTGCAATTTTAATTAACTTAAATAAACACATGTTGGGCTAATGGCTATTGTATTGGATAAAGTCAGAGTAAATTAAACCAGATTAATGTACATGTTGAAGAAGAATAGGAAGAGGTGTTGTGGAAATGAAGGCCATTCTGTATTTTCACATATACTTAGCATAAAGAGATAGGTACCTGTATATGTGTAGAGAGAAATATTTGGTATTTATTAACTACAAGTGCCTTTATCAACATGGGAAAATCTTGGGAAGAATGTGCAACAGAAATAGCAGGTCCCTAAGGATGGGGGTACTGGAGGTCAGTGTAATAGGTATTGGTAATGGGAATTTATCTTACATATTTGTATAATATAAAATATGTATTAATATATAACATATGTGTTACATACATGGAATTTTAAAAGTAATTGCTAATACAAGTTTAATCTCTGCAACTAAAAAATTTAATGTCATTATTCTTAAAGTTATAAAGTGTATGGGACTATTGTGTGGCAGTGAGGGGAGGGATATTTAAACACATAGACACAAATATATTTGGCTTCCTGATAGCCTCATTATAAAAGAAAAAAAGAGGCCCTCCCTGGTGGCACAGCAGGTTAATAAATAAAGCACAGCACTCAGAAGCTAAAGCCACTCCAGCATGAATTCTATCCATGCCCTGCAGGTGATCCATATGGCACAGCAGACCTCTCCTGGCCCTCCTGCTGCTCCCCTCAGCTGGCCTGTCTGCTCCCCACTTTGTCTCTGGTGAATCCTCTCACTGCCCCTGCACCTCTGTCCTGTACCCCAGTTCTGTATGCATAGATAAATAAATATTTTTAAAAGAATAAAGAATTGCATAATTATAATCTGAGAAGAGGAGAGATACTAGACTCTGAAGGGATTATTTATGGGAACTGCATAGTGCTTAAACTATTTTCTATTTGACTACATTATAGGTGTTTAAGGTGTGAGGGGAAAGCATTATAAATATAATTCAGTGAAAAATGCTTCTGGAGAGCTTAGTAGTGAGATCTATGTAGTGGTTTTCTGATGACTTCAAATTTTATTGTGATTTTTACTAACAAGTGACTGAATAGATTACATTTAAAAAATATCACTTAATAGCATGTAATCCACTTACCAATTGAAAGTGGAGCCAGGAAACAGTACAAAAAGGTTTATTTATTCACTACATGCCTCTGTCTTTGAATTTTCTCTACAGATACATTTATATTTAAAAAGCACTTTTAGGCCCTCCCTGGTGGCTCAACGGGTTAGGACGCAGCACTGCATGCTGGCCACAGCAACGTTAGTGCTAGTTCAATCCCCTGGCCCCGGAGGTGACCCACATGGCGCAGCAGACCTCTCCTGACCCGCCCGCTGCTCCCCTCAGCAGTGTACTTCGTCAGTCTTCCTGTTCTGCTCCCCACTCTCTCTGGTGAAGCCTCTCACTGTACCTCTGGCTTGTATCCCAGCTCTGTATGAATAAATAAATCTTTAAAAAAAAAAAACTTTTATTACAAACTATGTAAATGTTATTTCCTACTTACTTTTCTTTCAAAGGTTAGCAATGCCTTATTCCCCAGAACAGCAGTAAGCATGGGGTGCTCCTCAGAGCCCCAGAGGTGTTTTGACCAGTCTGTTATGTTGTATGGCTTCAAGCTAAATTCAAAATTAGTGCATCTGAGCTCTAAAAATGTTTAAAACGTCATATTTTCGTCTACCTCTAGTTCACCCACAGTAGTCAATAGTTATCAAGTAGAGCTACATTCAAACCTATTTTAATGAATAGTGTTTTGTTTTTTTGTTTTGTTTTGTTTTTTGCCAATCCTCTGCAATTAGTGCAATGTGTAGTCTTACAAAAGCTATGTTCTCTTTTTGGTTAAAGTTGCCATTGCCCCAAATGGAGCCTTACAGCTGGCCAGTCCAGGCACAGATGGAGTACAGGGACTTCAGACATTAGCCATGACAAATTCAGGTAGTACTCAGCAAGGTACAACAATTCTCCAGTATGCACAGACCTCTGATGGACAGCAAATACTTGTGCCCAGCAACCAGGTGGTTGTACAGAGTAAGTATTCTTACAGAGTATCTATGAAAACGTCCCTGAGCACTTTGAAAAACACTTGTAAATTAACTCATTCTTTTGACCACACAGCTGCATCAGGGGATATGCAGACCTATCAGATCCGCACCACACCTTCAGCTACTTCGCTGCCACAAACTGTGGTGATGACATCTCCTGTGACTCTTACCTCTCAGACAACGAAGACAGATGACCCCCAGTTGAAGAGAGAAATAAGGTTGATGAAAAACAGGTAGGTAGTAAAGCTATACTGCCAAATCTCAAAACATAAGCAAATGTTCATTGCAATTGTATATTAGGAATAAGGGGAGATGTTTATACCAGCTTTATTTTACATTAGATTTACTGGATTTGCTTCCAGTGGACTCCCATTGCTCAGTCTCTTTATTTAATATTTAACCTAGAGTTCTTCCATTTCTATTGTGTCCTTTGAAAGGACTTGTTGAGCAAAGTTTTTCAAGTAATATTTTTTTCTTATTGGGCTGACAAACAATTCTCATTTAACTTTGCCGCTTGTCACTGACTAGCAAGAAAAAGAATTAGTGAAAAGAATTCTCTAAATGCTTAGTATACTTACACTACAGAAGTTCTTTTAAAATGAGTTTTAATCAAAGAAATGCAAGTTAATATCACACACTTATAGTTAATTGGCAGAAATCTATGGATTCTTAAGTAGGGGTTGATAAGATTTAGATCCATGGAACTCCTTTTATACTGCTTATCGGTGGGTCCACCTTGGAGCTCAACTGAGGCCTTCTCATCTGCAGTTGACTGGGTGTGCTCTAACTTAACTGTTTTTAGGCCATGTGTGTGGCTGTGAGACTTTGGCAGGAAGCATGTGTAAGAATGTTCATAGCAGGCCCTCCCTGGTGGTGCAGCAGGTTAAAGCACAGCACTAAGAACCTAAAGCCTCTTCCGCATGAGTTCGATCCCTACCTGCCCCGGAGGTGACCACATGGCGCGGCAGACCTCTCCTGACCTGCCCACTGCTCCCCTCAGCAGTGTACTTCTCGATCTGCCTGTTCTACTCCCTACTCTGTCTCTGGTGAACCCTCTCACCCTCCACATCTCTGGCCTGTACCCCAGTTCTGTATGAAAAAAAAAAAAGTTCATAGCAGCAAGCACGAGGGTACAAAGTAAATATCCACCAATAACAGAAACCTCTAGATTCCTAGGAAAAATCTGTTGTAATAAAAATCAGAGTAGTAGTTGCTTGGGGAAAAGGATTGCTCAGTAGCAGATTTCAGAGAACTTTCTGGAACAATAAGAATGCTCTTGTTACTTATAGGGGGTAGATGATACTCGAATAGGCAGTTGCCAAAACTACATCCTACATTTAATGTTTATATATTTCACTGAACCTACATGGACCTTAACTTTTTTTTTTTTTTAAAGATTTATTTATTTGTGCATACAGAACTGGGGTACAGGCCAGAGGCTCAGGGACGGTGAGAAGCTTCACCAGAGACAGAGTGGGGAGCAGAACAGGCAG